GATGCATTTAGAAATATTTATAAAAATCCTAATAATCACCTTACATATCCTCGATTGTTGCAATGTGATGAAGAGCGTGAATTTATGGGGAGTGTAACTTTATTGATAGGTAAGCATAATATTAAAATTAGGAGAATCAAGACTCGCTTCAGACATACAAGTCTAGCAATAGTTGATCATTATGCTGAACTTTTTACTTTAAAAGTTTTTAAGAATCAATATGCGATAGAATTTCTCTTACCTACTAGTGAATGCTATAGAGAATGTGAACGATTTGCAAGAAAAATTGTTGATAATATGAATGTCACCCCAACTTGGTTAATTGGGATAAGCCCTAATAGTGCTATAAAACTTGAACAGGTTTATTCCAAGCTATTAACAAAGTATTATCGTCCAATAGGTGCTGATGAGCTACAGTTACCAAAAGGAACTATAGTTCGATTTTTACTTGCTCCTGGTGAATAGGAAAATGATCCCTTTGAATGACGAAGAATAACAGATCCAGTATGAAGTCCAAGCCTTCATAAAATTCAGAAAATTGTTGTTGGAAAAAATCTACCAATGCCTGTATTATATTATTTAGATGAAACAGGTCCTCAACGTCCTTTTGTAAGAGAAAAATTAATGCATATTAAGAAGGAACCTATACTACCTCCCAGGTGGGTCTTGGAAGATAACCGAATGCGTTCAAAGCACACTTGATGAAAGTTAGCAAATCAATAACACAATAAGGGATTGTGATAAGAATTATACCCTCTTTAAAACAGAGTACTCTCTTTTTCCAATCGTATTGAATTTGTGCATCTAAATTAATTTGTCCTTGTGGATAAAAAAAAGGAACGATTTGAAAATGTTGATTGCTACTGTATTCAAAGGCCAAATGTAATTCCTAATTATACCCATCAAGCTGTAAACTTTTTAAAAATTTGGATTTTCGAGGTAGAAATTTCTTATATAATAATTCTTCGAATATATATCAACATCTTTGCTCAAATATATGGAGACAACTATTACACTATCTATAATTCTGCTTCATATCTTTATAGGATGCTTCCCATTGATGTTGATTTTTGCATGACCATAAATAAATATCTGCGTTGGATCTAGCTTTAGCCAAGTATTCCCCTTCACGTCTTTTGGCATAGGTAAAAGCTTTGGTATCAATCTCGTTATAATCTTGCATTTTTATAATATTAGAATTTAACTTGAATATTTTAGTTAATTATACCCTAGGAGTATCACTTTTTTTTAAACTTGAGAGAAAAAAAGAAAAAAGAGTGCGAGAGTATAAGTGAGGCCGACTTCTTAAAATATAAGTGAAATTTTGAGACTAAGATGGGTGTACCTACTACTCCACACAAAAAAGAATTGAAAAATAAATCTTTGGTACTCATTGAATATGCATAACTATTATTTAAGATAATATCATTTAGTTTTAGTAGTAATTTTTGAAGCAGAGAGATTGCTATATTTAACTAGTTATTCATCTCAGGTAGGGGTTTTTGTCACCTCTTACAATAAGTATGAGAAAAAATTCAAATAAAAAATTAATATTTTCGATACCTAGACAATATAAAGGGACTTTTGTATCACATAATTTTTATTGGACTCAAACTTTATATATCATCAAATGAATATCGAAAAAGTAATATGCAAAAGTAGGCTTGAAGAGCTATAATTCTTTGAATCACCTAACAGCCTGCTCACAATAGAAAAAAATTGAGCTTTTATATATCATTTAGATAGATATCAGCAGAGCCAGTATGAAGTGCTAAAAAGTGATATGCAAAGGTTATCAAAAAGTGATACGCAAAGGTAAGAAAAAATTTGAGCTTTTACATATAATAGTCGAAAACTTCGATATGATGTTTGCACACTTCCGCACATTAGCTGGTCTGACAAGCAATAAAGCATATCAGATATTGCACCGTATTCGAAAGCTAAATCAAAATGTAGTACATATTCTAATGGATTTACGTAGTGATAATTTGCCAACAGACCGTGAGAATTTACTTCGTTTTATCAGCTATCAATGTAATATCGCAGAGTATCCTGATCTAGAAGAGGCTTATTGTGATAAGATACTTACTCCAGATAGCAGATAGATTTTTAAGCCAAATGCTTTTTTGAAAACTCATCTTTATAACGCATCTTGTCGCAATATATCTAGAAATGATTTTGTTAGTTTATTGACTGATCATCTTAGCGAATATGGTTATAATATTAATATTGCCAAAGACTGCCCTTCTATCGACTCAAAACTTACA